ACCACGCCGGAAGCACCAGCTTTTAAATAAAATAAAAAAAGAATCAATAGGATCGGTTCACCCTGTAAAAAGTTTTGAGGTAACAAACATCACGCATAAGTATGCGTGATGTCTTTGTATTGAGTATGCAAATTTAAAACTTATATTTTTTTCTCATAGATGCCATTTCCAGATCAGGACCAAGGGAGCATTCAAATAAAAAAAAAATCATCAAAAAAGTGATGAGGTAACCAAAAAAATAGTCGAATTGAGAACCTCCTCGTTTTTCGAAGTTGGTCAAAAATTGTTTTATAAAAAATTGCTGGTTAAAAAAAATTATAAATAAGATTTCATAGTTAGTTTACATTGGATAGGTTCCAAAACAACTGGACCAAAACGACTAAAAATTCTTTCACTTAGGGGAAGCTGCTACATACGCGGGAGACATAGAGCACATTAATATAAGTCATACAACAGATACATATCATGGTACTATTCTAATTATAGGTTGCCACGGAATGTACCTATAGAAAAGTATATAAAAATTTACAAATATCGTTATTTGTACATTTTTATATTAAATATTTTGTTCAAGTCGCAATTATTACTTAAAATTATCTTGTTGAATATTGGTCGGTGTTGCGCGCACAGCAAATTATAGATATTCTATATTCTCACTTCTCCAGTCACCACCCAACCCAAATGCGTTGGTGGTGCTATCGAACTTAACAAATTCGTAATTCGTGCATTTATAATTTCCCAACATTTTGCATTGGGAAATGTGAAGGATTTCGTTGGACATCTGGTTGGTCTAACTCTATTAACATAGGAATGAGAAAGATATACTGCAACTTAAATTGTCTCATAAATATTTATTTGTTGGAATGAAACATTAGTTACATTTTAATATTAACTTTTAAGATTTGTTTCATAATAGTATCTTGAGACCAGTCATGAAGATTTGTAAGAATAGGGATGATGACTATTTTTTGTTTGTTTGTCCGTCAGGTAGAGTGTAAAAAAATATTAAACACGATTTTTTTTTCGTAATCATAAAATTACGACGTTACATGGAGTTGAAATTTCGCATGACGTCACGTTATGGTACGTTTTCTACTCAACTGTGACGTAGCGACGCAACTTTAATGCCTGTTATCTAAGCTATTTCTTGTTAAATTGAAGTAAAAAAAAAATATATATGTATCTAATATTTTTCTATTATCTGACTGACGGACTAAATAGAATTGCATTTTTTTTACCCAGTCGTCATCCCTATTGGTTTTTAAGCGATGTTCATTACCGCTCAACAATTTTGTATTCGGTTTTTAAAGTAGAATGCCCGATATCAATGGTTACTTGAGTTGTTTAACAAAATTTAGAGGACGAGGAAATGTGAAAGATTGACAAAATAATTGAAGATAATTGAAATGGCTCGCAAAATCTTTAAAAAGTAGTTCTTTTTTCTTCTTCCACTATTCCGTAAAAATATTATAGCATGGAGTTTGGTATTCTCACCGGTCCGCTATATATTCTTTTTTCAAATAGCCAGTCTTATCTGTCTCAATGCCTATTAAAAATTAAAACATCAGTTACATTACACACTATTTTCTACGCCATTACGTTTCCGCGATATTATATCGTACCCATAGAAGGAAAACTAACTAACTAACATAATGAAACATTTGCTAAAAATGAAATTTGGTCATTTATATTTCGTAGAAATATCGTCATAGCATTTTTTGACAAGTACAGATAATGTTGCTTGAGCATGAGTTTTATTGTAGCGCCACTAGACAACCTTTTGGATAAACACCAAAATGTGATTGGTTACTGATTCAGACTAATTAATAGACCAGTGGAAAATGCTTATAAATCTACTTTATCCCACTTTATACTCTGAGATGACAAATTAAAAAGTATTAAGGAAAAAGAAAAAGGAAAATGAAAAAAATATGGGTAGATTATTCAAATATTTAAATTATATACAGTAAAAAGATGTTATAAGCAATGTTTAGATGAAAGTCAAGAACTTCAAATGAATGACAATCAAATTGAGCTCACGATGTATGATAATGTAAGCTCATACTACTTGCATGTTGCAAAAAGTCGACATGTCATGAGTAAGAAAGCTGTTGATTGTGTCATTTTAGTGTCCGATAAACTAAGTGTATGTATGATTTTCATGTCAGAGTTTGGATTATGACATTGTTGGTTATTTGCGCGACGGTGTTGCGCCCACGCTATGTTGGAATGCATCTGGATTTGCTGATAAACAGGATTGCTTTAGGGATGTCGTTATAGAATAGTAGTGGAAGTTGAGATAATTTTCTCATTATAAGAAACATATTGCACGTGATCAGGTTCTTATCAGGGTTAAGTACAACTTTATGATACAAATAACATCAAAGTATGTCTTGATAAATATCTGTAAAACACACATATTTTTCAATAATACGGTGCAAATTAATAATTATATTACTAAGAAAATATATAGCGTATTTCTTAAATAATAATATTAATTAAAGTTATATTTAGTATATATATTAGAAGAGATAACAATTTTAATGATTCTGCCTGATTTGATATGAAATCGTATAACATAGTTATTATTTGTAAATGGCCACACAAACATATAAGTTTAATTGTTTAAAAAATTTTTGCATATCCTCAGGAAAACGGAACTTAAGTATCTACCTAAAAATGCTTGTTGTTACTTTCTATATTAGTATTATTTTATTTTAAGTATATGGCCCGATTGTTTCATAACATGCAGAATAAATAAATGTAAAAAAGATAGCATCGAAATTAATCGGTAACTTCTTTATCTCAGTAATAGTTTTGTTTTGACAGCCCTTATAACTAGCCGGTCCTCCCACTAATCAGTTCGATCGGAGGTGTTATGGTATACATAAAATACGTCGCTAAACGGTTTTAAAATTGCTTATGCATATTTTATTAAAACCAAAAAAGGAGGCTCTATTAACTTCTGCGTTTCTCTTTATTCTTATTTAAATTTGAATTTGGCGTTCTTTTTCAGAACGTTGGAATAGACAAAATCTTCGATGATATTTTTATAAATTACAGATTATTTTTTACGTTATTTTGTTATTATTGGTGTATGCGCCATTTTAAATAAAATATGATTCCAAAACTCTTTAGAGTGTTAGTGTTATTTTCTTGTAAGAATAGGTAATTAAATGAAAATGAGCGGCGTAATAATAATAAATGTTTATTTTACGACATAAATTCCTGTCCTTTAGCATAGATTTGTTTGGATTCTATTAAAAATACATCCAATCAATTAGTAAAGGAAGTGAATAAACAAGCAAATTACTATTATAACCAATTTTATTGCATTAATCAACGGCAAGTCACTAGTCCTGCGCGAGGAAAACACGCGTCTATACATAATGATGATTCAATGTTTACTTGTAGATACTTAATCGATAACTTTAACATTCGACTAAATCACAACAGATATTGTCGTATACCAATAGGATGACTTCACTCTCTTAGTTGTTTTTATTATCGTAAAACTTGTTTTTAATGAAAAAAAAAACACTTTGCAGTTGGCACTCTGAGATGGGACTCGAACCCATAACCTTCCGCAATCACTGAGCTACCCAACACCTAACAGGGAGGCAATTCTACTAAATAAATTTTGTTTAAATCGAATCGAAAACGGATCGAAACCGAACGGAATTAAAGTTTTTAATGGTTTTCATATTCTACAAAGTGACATACGATATAATTCCAGTTCTATTTTAGCTGGAATTGTATTGAATGTCACTAAGTAGAATAGAAAAACCATTAAAAACTGTAGTTGTGTTTGGTTTCGATCCGTTTTCGATTCGATTTGAACAAAACTTATTTAGTAGGCATCCAGGACTGACGAATTTTTCAAGCACTACAGAGCGTATTTCATCAATGATCAGGCAATCCACCCAAACAGCCGAGAGAAATATTTTTTTAAGCATTAAGAACATTTTTCAGTACAGCACTGTGAACTCAAAATTGATCAAATACAATAATTAGAACAAACTTTAAATATTTGTAAAAATATTTATCTGGGCTGTTTGGGCGCATTGCTCGAACATTGATGAAAATACGTTCTGTAGTAACAAGTGCTTGAAAAATTCGTTAGTCATGTTAGGTCCTTCGTAGCTCAGTGGTTAAAAGCAGTCGTCTAGATTGAGAAAGGTCATCAGTTCGAGTTCCATCTCAGAGTACCAGGGACAAAGTGTATTTTTCAAGTATTTTTTACTAAGAACATTTTTCAGTATTGTGCTTAAAAAATTGATCTCAAAAATGCATTTATATGATTTCAATAACGAATTTTGTGGTTTTATAGGTATGTTTTAGATCGATTTTCTCGAGATAGAGTTTTCAAGGTACCGGGTTCGTTTTCCGGTCGAATCATTGTAGAAAATCAACTATTCTATTTTGCGACAGTTAAATTATTGTTACAAGCACTTGTTAAGAGATATCGATAATCTAACAGTCAGTTGCACAATCGTCCATTAACGTTTAATTATGACTTTAAGCTCTAATGAATATTCTAAATTTGAAAATTTGTATGAGTAACGTGGCATTAAACTAATAATAATTTTAATGGACGTTTGTGCAACTGGCTGTAAGTGTTTTAGCTGCTTAATTTGGGATCCAAGCAATTTGTTAAAATGTCTAATACTAATATATATTTATATTACCTATGTAAGTAGCGAAATAAGCCTGAAGTCCATGATATTTTCCTGTATCTTTGCCCGTGTTTGGTGTAGCTTCTCTTAGTTGTTTCGAAACTTATTCTACGTATTCACAATAAAATATTTTCTCTTTATAATATTATAATTATAAACAATTAACAAAGCAATCTGATTCAACATCTGACAAGAGGTATGTATTAATAAACAAGTTGACGGTCGCATTATAATATTTCGTTGACATGTAAGGTAGCGCGGAGGCAGTTTTCCATATGTATCTTCGCCCCACTACGTCGCACGCGCAGGCTTCCGCGCCGAGTCATAGTCGAACCGTTCCGTTTCTGTCGCGATAGCGTGCGCTCGATCGCTCCTTGTTCCGTTTAAGCGATTGCGTTTGATTTTACAAGCTTTTCTGAATGAAAAGCTCGTGTAAACACATAGACGCGTGTTCTAGTGTCAGTGTTTTGTAAGATACTATCGTCTGATTTGTTGCATTAGAGAGTTTTGTGTTTGTATTGTACATGTGTTCAGTGGGAGATAGTTCCATTCAGTAAGCAAACACGTGGTGCATTGGTTACGCCGTCGAGCCTGAAGGCTGAACTTATCGCACGGAGGTTTGTAAACAAACGTTGCATAACAATCAATAGTTATAGATTGGTTTGCAATGAGTAAATATTATATTATAGGTGTATAGTAGAACTGCAATTTATTTTAAATAATAAGTTATTAAGTTATAATAAGTTAATGGCTTAATATCTGTATTATTAATTAGTTTGGATTTAATTTATCTTATAAAGTTAAATCGATTTCAAGCGGATGTCTACTGCTTATGAAGAGAATAGAATACATGCCCATTTTCGTAGCTAGCGGGTGTAGTTCCCAAGCCGTATGTGATTTGAGTCACTCGTTATACTAATTAGTAATTTTTTGATATGTGTATTTACAATTATCAAGAAATAAAATACTGTGTGACTTATAAAATAATTATAAGTTCTTTGTTTTCACTTCTTATGAAGAGTTAAATAATTTTCGAGAAATAATTTAATTAATCTTTATTTGAGGTCACGTAGTTGTCATTTGTTTATGGGGTCAACAGATCCTTAGAAAAAAACGTAAGAAACCTTCAACGGATCAAGTTATAATTGTCTCAATGCCAATGAAATCTTCAACTGTTCGAATTAATATATTCAAATAGTTAAGCCATATTTAGTGGACAGGTGACATAACAATGTATAAGAATAATAATGACGTAGGCGTCTATATTACTAATTCAAACGACGAATATATAAGTTTGATATTTATGTGGAACTAATTATCATAATGTTGCAAAGTGTTAACGGGTTATTGTAAGGAATTTTTAGTTTCCTTCAATATGTATGATGAATTTAATATTTTTGGGTTAATGCCCCAAACATATCACTTATTTATATTTTTGTTACCTAATGAAATGAAGGTGAGTTTTATGCTAATTATATATTAGAAGCATATTATAGAAGTACTAGCTAGCTCTTGCCCGCGTCCTCGTCCGCGTGGTAAAGTTACTTTGAGCAGCATTTCTAATGAACATTTATTCATTATATCATGTAAAATACCTAAAATAGTTTTATAACCTATTTTATTCCCTTAGAATTTATCAAAATTCTTTTTTAGGGGTTGCCTACGTCATAGTAGCTTTATACATGCAAAGTCTCAGCCCGATCGGTTTAAAATTGAGAAAAGTTTGATCTCCTATTCAAACTATCTATACAAACTTTCATCTCCTCTTTTATCCCCTTGGGGGTAGAATTGATCAAAATCCTTTCTTAGCGGATGCCTACGCCTTAAAATCTACCTGCATGACGAATTTCAGCTCGATCTGCCCAGTAGTTTGGGCTGTGCGTTGATAGATCAATATGTCAGTCAGTCACCTTTGAGTTATATATATATATATATATATATATATATATATTTGCAATCAAAGTATTCTACCTCTATAGTGATACCCAGGCACATATATATGGTGTAGAATACCTTCAACATACTATATATGTGTCGACCTTAAAAATACTATTTACTGCGACACTCTTCAATTAACAAGAATGCGTTTATACAACGCAATGAATTCCATGTTTAATTGATTAGTTTTCCTGCAATTTCCGTAAATGCTAAGGATGTCTACCGCAAGTGTAATGGTTTATATACTTTATGTTAGCTAGAAATAATATTAGATGTTCCCGAATTTAATCTGGGAGTAGAATTTTTTTATGCTTTAAATTCTAAATATATGTAACTGTCTTATCAACTAACTGAAATATTATATGTTGCTCTCTATTTACATACCTCTTCACGCCCCGTGTATTACCTATTATCTTCATCAGCTAAATGATGTCCCCTTTGCAATATAATAATACCTAAAGATTTAGATGCAGAATAAATTTACGCTAAAATTCCAATTTTAATATTAATCCAAATTGATATCAAATAGAACCTCGTACTAGGTCTTTGTTTAACCTTTGCTTAGTCTTTGTTTAATAATTTGAATTTTGACTAATACTAATTGCAGTCTTAACATAAATTTATTCCCATGCTAAATCTTGTTTATTAATAACACTGATAATATATTTTTATGGGATCACCCGTACACCATGATCATAATGTCCAGGCATTTTAAAAAATACGGAAGTTGGAATCATTATTATGTATTAAGTAGCTATTCATTATTAATATCGTAATTTATCACTAGGTCCATAACATATATATAAACAGTATAACACAGTCGCTTTCCGCTGTCTGTACTCTGAGATCTTTTAAACTATACACTGTATTTTGATGCAATTTGAAAAAAAAGTAATTCAAGTTTTAAATGTATAATACAAATCCACGCGAAGCTGTTGGCAGAAAGCTAGTATAGTAAAAAGGCAACAGTTCCTGACTGACTTATCTATCAACGTGCAATTGAAACTACTGCAGAGATAAAAGATGTTTTCCAAAAGATCGTTAAAAATTTTACTATTAAGTCCCTGCCCCTGAGTCAAGACTTTATCCCTGAAGAGATTAAATAGATGCTTGAAAATCATGTTTTCTACGCCAGGGAAGAGGCGGGCAGAAAGGTATAGTCTATTTTTATTTACTTGAGATAACTAGTAAACAAATATGGCGTTTTTATGAAATTTGACATTTGATAGGGTTGGGAAACATTGATCTATATAATGAATGACCTATTGAACGATTACTTATTAATTAACATTTTTGTATATTGAGTTTTAAAGGTTTGGTATTAAAATAAAAACCATAGTTTTACAATGCGACTTTACTATAATAAGAAATGGACTTTTAAAAATATTTTCATTTTACTAAGAAATATAATAATTTAGCAATAAAGCGGTAAACGACGATGGCGACTCCCAGCTAAAACCTATATTTTTAATAGCATCAATTCAAATTAAATTGAATCAAAATATATACATATATATAATAATGTAACAAAGAAACAAGCTGAATATATGCAATATACTGTAAGTTAATGATAAACTAAAAAATAAAAGTGTTAAATTTGTGATTTAAAAATTTGTGAACAACCTACTAATGATTCCACCTAAAATATTAGATACGTATTTTTTTGCTTCGATAACAAAAAATAGATTGTATAATTTGAAAATAACGGTGTTAACGATAGCTCTAGATAAAGGATTTATGATGAAAAACTGGGATTTAGGGAACCAAAATAAGAAGACCAGCCCCCTTACTCTCGAACGCAATCGCGACCGATCGACATTGCAATTGTGTCGTTCTATACTCTTGATTGGGTACACTAGCGCCAGAGTATGCTAGTGAGCCAATCAAACGCGCGGAGCGGCACAATTGCAATGTCGATCGGTCGCGATTGCGTTCGAGAGTAAGGGGGCAGGATAGGGCTGAGTGACAACTGTAATTTTTGACATGGAAAATACGTACAAAATCAATAAAAAAGTAAAAAAGGCTTCAAAAAAGGATGGTTGGTTGGTTCAAGGTTGGTAACAAACTGTTTAAGTATATTCCGTAGTTATGATCTTGTAGTAATTATGTATATGCTTACGCCCATATACGTTTTTTTATATTAATCGGTTAAAGCCCTACGCGTGAGCGCAGAATGCCGCAACCTAACTATATCGATAGACGAGCACCGTAAATATTGCGATACATAATTGGTGAAAAAATTACTTATTTGCTATCAGGCTATGTAAAAAACGTGTACCTAATACGTCAAATATTATGAAATTGTTACAGCTAGCCATCAGATTATGGATCATTCTGTGAAGTTTTCAAACCTTGACATTGAGATGTGTTAATATTATTGAAAATAAATATATATAGACTTAATATATACAGACATTATATACATTGCTCAGATATAAATTCAAATAATTTAAGCTTTTATTACGGAAAAACAGCACCACAACATTTATTACGAGACGTTATAGATTTTTTTATATTCTACATTGACGTAACCGGCAATCGACCTTAGGACTTCAGAGCGAGCGACATATTGAGACATGCGGTCACATAGGTCTTCAAAATGGTTGATTCAGCATACCTTTATGCTGAATTAAACCCTTGTTTAACAAGACTTTATGGCCGTCAAACTACGTAATGGAATTGCAAATCTTATGCGGGAGACCTTGTGCCGAGAAGAACCTTCAAGAATCAAGATGTCGAATATATGGAATCCATATTGGGCTATCGTGCTGTATCTGAGGTCGCCAAAGATTCTATATTATATAAAAGTAATTTGTCTTTTTGCGTGGTCACATCACATTACAAGGTGTTATAGACTTAAGTAAGGTTAGCTTTGGAAGGCCTCCAAGGTGGTGTGGATTACAAAATAATTATTCTTATAAGGAGATCCTGTACCGAGGATTAAATATATATCACAGATAAATCATTTAAGTGCAGTTGAAATATCACACCTGCATCTTGAATTAAGCTATGCTATATGTGAAACCGGGTCGATGGCTAATAATATTGATCGTTTGTAATTATTGCATCTATTAGAGTTTTGAGTTTTCTGAATGAAGAAATGAAAAGGTCAACGAATGTAAGTTATTCGTTGATCTTTTCTTCTAGCAAATCATAGGAATGATCGGTGATATTGTTACCCACGTGACATGTTAAAAATACTTTAGGTTTAAATAGGTATATCAGATAGCTAATCTAAACATATTACATGATATTATCATTCGTCTCATTTTTCTCAAGTTGTTATACTCACGATCATTGTCCGAAAGTAAAAATTTAAACAGATCTGTCATATGTTTGTCATTTGTTATTTTGGTATTAGTCATACAAAAGTATTGGACACAAACAATGTTGAATAATAGCATTTCGTTTATCACATTACGCCTCCAGGATCAGGATTACTGTTACATAGTCACAGTGACAAAGGAACTTTATGATTAGACACTTTTTATTTAGATACATGATTTTTATTACCAGCCAACCGCAAACTATTAAAGCAGTCTGCCAAAAAGAAGCAAAAAACGTGTATAGGCGTTATTATATTAGATTGAGGCGTAATGACAGCCGGCGGTTTGACAGGCGCCCACGCAGCTAGATCACTGCGTACAGATAATAAATACTTACGTCCTTTACAATATAT